ATGCATCTTAGGTCTACGATGGCCCCCCTCCTCCTCCTCCTCCCTCCTCCTTCTCCTCCTCCTCCTCCCTCCTCCTCTCCCCCTCCCTCCTCTCTCCCTCCTTCTTCTCCACCTCCCCAGGGTACCCCCTCTTCTCTCCTCCCTCCTCCTCCTCCTCCTCCTCCTCCCTCCTCCTCCTCCTCCTCCTCCTCCTCCTCCTCCTCCTCCTCCTCCTTCTCCCCCTCCTCCTCAATCGTGCTGCACAGGGCAGGGGCGTAGGAAGGATGGGCAAGAGGAGGACCCAAACCTCCGACGACTCGAGCATTTCGCGTCGCGGGCCCCTGGACCTCTCCACCGCTTCCCTGGAGGCCTCCTAGATAGGGTCGGAGTAGACATGGGGTCGGCGCAGATGCATCGGCGATGCATTGGCGATGCACCAGCGACGCTGGCGATGCATTGGCGACGTCGGCGTGACGCAAATCGGGATCCGCATCAAACCGCATCGTCGATGCATCGGCGATGCAGCGCGATCCTCTGACCCCATCCACTCTGACCCCATCTAGGAGGCCTAGCTTCCCAGGCCTGGCGCGTCATCCCATGCAGCTCCTGGACGGCCTCCCCGGGCCTGGAAGCGGCTCCCGGGCGCCGACAGCAGGGAAGAGCACCTGGCGCAAGAGTGGCTCGAGCGGCCAAGTGTCTGGACCCAGGAGCCCAAGCACAAAAGCCGCCCCCCTGGAGTTCTGTCCTGGGTGCGCTTCAGCAAGCGCCTCGAGGCGGACCTGGCCGTTGCGTCGAGGAGGAGCGGCCGAGGGGCCCAAGAAAGACGACCCCCCACACGCTCACACAGTCGGGCGCCCGAAACGATTACGCACGGTGCCCAACAGCGAACGCAGTCCAACACCGACAGCGGCCGCTGCTGGGCATGAGACCTTCTGTCTCCAATGGACAGACGTCCACTGCGACACCGACATCGAGTCCCTCTCAAAGTGGGTAAAGTCTGCTGTTGATCGTCGTGTCCATCCTTTCCGTATTTTTGTACTTTTGTCAATCGTACCGAACAAACCTCGATTCTCGAGTCACTAGATGGTAGACCTTCGTGTTGCGCACACAGGGCCCCCCCTCTCAGGTAGTCCCTGCTGGCCTCAACAGGCCCCCCCCGAGGAGTCCCAGCCGAGGGGCTGTCCGTGTGCAACCCAAAGCTCGGGGCCAGCCAAGAGGAGGGCGGCCAAGAAGAGGGGCGGGCGCAAGTCATGGCCTGCGGCATGTGCGCGGCCCAAGGGGGGGGGGGCAAGGAACATATTGCAATACGAAGAGGCGCCATGAAGTCCGGGAAGACATCATGGCCCCCGCCATGATATCCACCCCCCTACCCAAACATGCGACGTTCTGATTTTTCCAATGTGGGGCTCCTGGAAGTCCCGACCCGTTCCCCGGGACCGGCTTTTCACCCCGAGTCGTTTCTTGACGGCTCCGAGGCTCGGCGAGGGCCCCCACCGAGGTCGAAAATTACCAAAAACCTCCCGTCCCGTTTTTTCACGACACGATCGTGTCTAGGGTGGCCGCCCCCGAGCCTCACCATCGTCGTATGTGAGCGTTTTCTAATTTGGCGTTTTGACATTGGGCGGAAGGGGGTGGGGGGTGGCTCCGGGCCTCTGCTTAGTGCGACTGTTTGGAGCCGTGTCCATGATGGGGGAGACCCCACCTGCTCGAAACAGGCGCCAAAAGCAGGCAAGATCTACTCCACGGAGGGGGGGGGAGGAGGAGGAGGAGGGAGGAGGAGGAGGAGGAGGAGGAGGAGGAGGAGGAGGAGGAGGAGGAGGAGGAGGAGAGGAGGAGGAGGAGGAGGAGGAGGAGGAGGAGGAGGAGGAGGAGGAGGAGGGAGGAGGAGGAGGGAGGAGGAGGAGGGGAGGAGGAGGAGGAGGAGGAGGAGGAGGAGGAGGAGGAGGGGGAGGAGGAGGAGGAGGAGGAGGAGGAGGAGGGGGGGGGGGTCGCGAGGGCCCGCGCCGATCGGCAGAGCAGTGAACAAGAAGACGAGCACTGGCTCTGGGCATGTCGGTCGTTTCCTGCTGGCGCGGCGCGGGAGCCCGTCGTCGAGCGAGGCGCGCGGAGCTGCCGCGCTCGTGGCCGCCCACGCGCGCGCGAGCCCGAGGCCGGGCCGGCGGTCGCCGGGGCCTGCGCTCGGCTGTGGACAGACCTCCCTCGAATAAACCGCCCTCTAGTGAAAACGGCCTGCGACCGAAACCGACGGACCCGGGCCCGCAAGAAGGACGGCCGCGACGCCCTCTCGCGAACCGGAAACGGCCACTTCGCTCATCGGCGCGTCAGGGTAGAAGGTCTGTCAACCTCCGATGCGCTCCCCGAGCTGTGCGGGGCAACCGCCAGGGTTAGGTCGGGGACGCCCCCCTACAGGCGGATTCTCGAGGACAAATAAACAAGGGTCGAACATACCCCAAACATGAACGAGCAAACAAATGCTCAAACATCGTCCTCAGAGTATTTGCTTTGACTATTTGTTTGAACCTTATTCCTCCTGGAGAGGGACGTGCCCGACTGAACGCTAGGGTTAGATCAGGCACGTCCCCCTACAGGCGGATTCTCAAGGAAATTCAAAGATAGCAAAACAACAACCCGAACATGAGCAAACAGATGCTCAACCAATTGTCCCCGGAATATGTTTTGATTATCTTTGAACCTGGAGAGGGACGTGCCCGACTTAACGCTGGGGTTAGGTCGGGCATGTCCTCCTACAGGCGGATTTTGGAAGAACAATATAAATAATCAACAAATAAACAAACAGTAGTCCAAAGAGCACGACGCACCGTCACCGTATGATAATTGAACTAGTCTTGGGTACTCCTCCTGTACAGGGGCATGCCCGACTTTGCGCTAGGGGAGCTCAGCGGGGGAAACATCGTTCTCGAAGCGGCGATGCTTCGCCCACAGATCGGCGAAAGGCCCCCGATAGGGAATCCGCAGTGTCCTGGGCGAGGTGGTGCTAGGGGGCCCCTGTCGGCGATCAGTGGGCGATCCGGGGTCGATGCATCCCCCCCCTGACCCAGACCACCGACGTCATGATTTTTTCATTACGTCGACCCCTGGAGGTCTCGACCCATTCCCCTGGACCGGTTCTTCATCCTGAGTCGTTTTTTGACGGTCCCGAGGGCAAGTAAGGGCCCCTGGAGGCCGAACATAACGAAAAACCTCCCGTCATGATATTTTCACTGCCCGAGGGGGTCTGGGGAGCCCATCTCATCTGACGGTGCCCCGGAGGCCGTGCTGCTGGGGCCCCAGCCCGGCAGAGCCACCGAGCACGCGTGCTGCCCGCCGGAGGTTGGCGGCGCCCACCACGGGGTGCCCTGGCATCCGGGCCTCATCGTTCTTCGCAACGAGCGAACTGGCCCAGCTTCGGGCCCCGGGACCCTCACAGATGGATTCTGCTCGAGAAGTGCAACAGAGAGACGGGGCCCAGGGCTCCCGTTGTGACGTTTCGCCACGTTGCAGCTTTCTCGCGGCGCCGGGCCTCAGGGTGGCGCGAGGGTGGTGGGCTTAGGTCGGGCCTGCTCCCCTACAGGCGGACTTTGGAGGACGAATGAAACATGCTAAAGAAAACGTGTTGTTTTGTTGCATAAGCCGTCCCCATATGATCTTTCACGAGTTTGTTGTTTTTGAATATTCCTCCTGTGGGTGGCCACGCCCGACTGAACTGTGAACTTCGATCGGCAGCGGCCAAAACGGGGGTGTCCAAGAGGGGGGGGTGCAAATCATGACCGGCGGCATGTGCGCGGTCCAGCGGGGGGGCCAGGGACGTAATGAAATAATAAAAGGCGCCATAACATCTGGGGAAATATCATGGCCCCCGCCATGATATCCACCCCCCTAGTCATCACCCCCCTCTGTGCCGCCCCCCGATTCTAGGAGAAGGCAAAGGGGGGCTTCTCAGGAGCCCGCCCAGGCCTCTGTCGCAACCTTCCCCTGGGCGCTTCCAGGGCTCTCCAAGGAGGCCCCTGCCTTCGAACAAGCTCCTCGGCCTTCTCAGAATTAGGTCGGGCCTGTCCCCCTACATGGGGATTTAGGACGGAAGCAAAAAACAGCTCCAGACATATTCCAAACATACAACAAAGAATAGTCAAAGCATCGTCCCCATGCTTACTATCTTTTGGCTACTTTTGAACACCCCTCCTGTAGAGGGACACGCCCGACTTAATCCTCGGCCTTCTTAGAAGGCCGCCCCCCTCGCGCGCCCCCCCCCCCCCCCCCGTGGGCGCCGCCGATGAGGGTAAGCTCGCAGCGAGGCAGCAGGGCCACGAGATCCGAGACCCCGGCGACGCACCTCTTCGTCACCGGGCGCTTTTTCGTGCACCGACCACACGCAGGAGCGACCCTGGGCAAGAGTGGCCTCTGGTGCGCGGCTCTTCGGGGGCCGCGGGGGAGACCAAACACGAGCGCGCGAGACGCAGCTACCGCATCGCGCCTTGGCGATCGGGGGGCCCCATTGGGCCCGCACCAAAGGTCTTTCCGGCGAAAGGTCACTCTTACGTGTAGTTGAACGAAGCCCAGCGCTGGGGGCTCCCGGGCCCCCTCGCGGATCGAGCCGTCCGTCGCGAGGAATGCCGTCGAGAGCTCGGGCTGCGGCTTCTGCGGCGTTGCGCTTCTGTTGCGACGTCGGGTCTCCGGGCACCAGCGACGACGACTCCACGAGGACGAGGGAGGAGGAGGAGGAGGAGGAGGAGGAGGAGGAGGAGAAGGAGGAGGAGGAGTAGGGAGGAGGAGGAGGGAGGAGGAGGAGGAGGAGGGAGGAGGAGGGAGGAGGAGGAGGGAGGAGGGAGGAGGAGGGGGAGGATGATGAGGAGGAGGAGGAGGAATAGGAATAGGAGGAGGAGGAGGAGGAGGAGGAGGAGGAGAGGAGGAGGAGGAGGAGGACGAGGAGGAGGAGGAGGAGGAGGAGAAGGAGGGAGGAGGAGGAGGAATAGGAGGAGGAGTAGGAGTAGGAGTAGGAGTAGGAGGAGGAGGAGGAGGAGGAGGAGGAGGAGGAGGAGGAGGAGGAGGAGGAGGGGGAGGAGGAGGAGGACGTATCTGTTGGGACGTATCTTGAGGTGGGGGGGGCGCCCGTGGCGCCCCCCCTCCTTAGCGTGAACACGTCGGGCACAGAGGGGGCTACTCGCCACGTGACTCGCTGCCCAGACGGCGGCCCCCCGCAGCCATGGTTCACCCGCATTCTGGCGGGGGCTGCGCTGGCGTGGTTCACCTGCCTACGGTATTCAGCCGTATGCTCAAAGAGCGGCAGGGCCAGCATGGGGTAGCAGCCGACGGGCACGTGCATACGGGGTCCGCGCTGGCAACGGGCGAGATTAACTGATCTCGAAACCCGAGGATCCCCGTCCGGGAGTGGGCGCAAGCCCCACGGGGTTCACGTGCCACACGGCACCACCTCTCCCAGAAATGCACGATCGTGGCTGCAGCTGACGCCACGGCAGTGGGCCAAAGTTCAGACCACACTGCTTCGGGCTCAGGGGAGCCAAACTCATCCCTGCCCGCGCAAAGTGACGGCGGCCTTCCCGCTCCCGCATGTCCACTGCAACAGGCCCTGCCAGTATGCCCCAGGGCGAGTGTGGCGCTGACACCATGAGAACAGGTGCCAGGCCCCCGCCTGGGGCGGGAGGAGGAGGAGGAGGAGGAGGGGGAGGGGGAGGAGGAGGGGCGCTCTTCACGACGGCGCGGCGACCTACGCGTGCAGCTGGCGCGGGGTGCCGCGTGGAAGCGAGGGCGCCCGCGCGGGGCCCTGCGCGGGCAGCCTGCGCGCGAGCGTCCGCGCAGCTGGCCTTGTTCTGGCGGCGTGCACAAGGGGGTGGGGAGAGGGGGGAGGACTTCTTAGAATCAGGCTGCTTCTTAGAAGGCGCCAGCCTTACATCTATAGATAAGGCCCGCGCCTTCTAAGAAGCAGGGGCGCTTCTAAGAAGCCCTCCCCCTCCCCCCACCCCCCTTCTGCGCGTGGCTGATTCTTCCTTGCGTCGCCCCCGGATTTGAGCAGGGACCCACACATGTCTGAGTCACAGAAACGATATGTTCTCAGCACACGAGCCCGAGGTGTAACACCAAGGCAGTCCCAGCCAGAAATGTTCTATAGGAACATTTCGTGAAAACCACAGAAGGTTCTTAGAACATTGTTTGGTAGGCCTGGAGGCACGCCGCCAGTAAGCGCACCCAGGAAAGGCATCGAACGGGGCAGGGCTGTCGAGGAGACGCCCAAGGCTGTTTAGGAAACTCCAGCTGTTGGGGTCTGGGTGACTTTTCCCACCTTGGCCGAAATCGGACGCCGCAAAAATTGCAACATCGCGGAAAACCGCCACCAGAGCCTCAGACCCCCTCTTCCCGCGATACTTCTTGAGCCGGATGGACCTCTTCTGGCCCCAGGGGCCCGCCGCCGGGCGAACGCGGCCGGCGTGAAAGAAGGCGACGCCTGGATCTCAGGGGCTCAGACGGAAAACGGCCCCTGTGCCTCGCCCGCGCCGGGGACCTGCGCCCCGCGCTGCGCGTGGGTGCGCGTGGGCGCCGACTGGCCCGCGGCTGCTCTCGAGCGCGCGGCCGGGCGGCGGCGGCGCGCGGGGCCGACCCGGCGCACCAGCGCGTCGAGCCTCAACTTATACACCCTTTTGGGGGAAGTCACGCTCGTCGGGCCTACGGCGCCTGCTGCGGGCAGGCCGCATCTCCCGGCCAGCCGCGGGGGCCTCGAGCTCCTGCCGAGCTCTGGGCGCGTCAGACGACGTCGTCCCGCTGCTGCAGGGGCATGTAGTCGTGGCCGTCCTGCCTTCTCCGCCGGGGGGTCATGCTCCACCGGTCCGCGATCAGCGGCGTCTGCTGGCTGCCGCTGGCCTCGCCCGAGTCCTGGCTCCCGTCGCGCAGGGGCGCCTGCATCTCCCGCCTGTGGTCCTGGCAGCTGCTGTACAGGCAGAGTGCGACCACAACCAGCAGCAGCATCGCGACCACCAGCATGGCGGCCTCCACGTCGTGAGCCCAGCCCTCGGAGCCCAGCGCGCCCTGCATGAACAGCGCCAGCAGCATCAGCCCTAGGCTGCCGACTGCAAGCACGCTGGACACGGTGCGGGCCTGCGGGGGGGCGATGAGAGCCCCGTCGTCGAAGGGCAGCTCCTCGTGGCGCACATCTGGGGGGGGCGGGACAGGCGTGGCGGTGAGCTCGCTGACGTCGCCAATGTCGCCAGTGAGCCCGCGCCCAGGTGAGCGCACCGCCTTGCGCTCCACGCCCACCGTGACCACCCTCGGCTCCCCCGGCGCGAAGTCGTCGGACAGCAGGACCACGTCCGCCTCACGGAAGCTGTCGGGCTGGACGTCCTTCGACCACGCCGCTAGGGTGTCCAAATGCACGACCACCTTGGAGCACTGGAACTCCGTCTCGCGGGAGCACTCCTCCTGCACCCTGATCAGCATCCGCAGGGCGGCGGGAAGGCCGACCGCGCGATTGGCCTCGGCGTTCGACAGCAGCTCGGTGGCGCCCACAAGGGAGTAGCCCGGCGTGCTGTTGATGCCGTCCATGTTGAGGCACCTGGTGAGGTCCTCCCGCTCCCTCTTCGTTAGAGCGTCGAACGCGTCGCAGATGCTCCGCCCGCCCTTCCAGTCGTAGGCGTTGGAGAGGCAGAGCAGCCGCGCCAGCGCCCTCTGCTCGAGGGAGGCGAATCTCGACATCGCCTTTGTGCTCCGCTGCAGGAGGAATTTGTTGTACGTCTCCGCGACGTCGCCCGTCCCGAGCAGCTGCTGCAGCGCGTCCAGCCCGGGCCGGAACCGCTGGAACTGCCGGTCGTTCATGAACAGCGAGCCCTGGCCGCTGCTCAGGCCGAGCTTCCCGCACATCTGCGCGAAGACGCGGAAGCAGAAGAATGCGAACCCATCGGCGCCGTGCGGCCGAAACGTCTCCTGCACTTAGCTGCCCCGACACGCAACACGCAACAGGTAGCGTATTGATACGGAGCTCAACACGTACACTGAAAACGTAGGTCTGACGCGATGCGTTCGCCAAAACGTGGGCCAATACGCTGAGCCAACACGCAACGTATTGACACGGACGGTTTGAGCACGGCACGTGCTGCGTATCAAAACGGGCGTATCGAGGCAGCTAAGCTCCTGCACGACCACCAGGTTCGCTGGCGTGGTCTCCGCCTGCAGGAAGTGGCTGAACTCGAAGTCCACGTTCAGAGAGTCCAGGATGAGCTTCTTGTACTTCTTGCTGAGGCGCTTGAAGGATGGTACCACCTCTGGGTTCGCCTCGAGGATATGCGCCAGAGCCGTGTCGTGCATGTGCTTGTCGAAGCCTGGGGCGCACTCCTCGCGGAACTCGCGGATCTTGCCCAGCGCGTGAATGGCCATGAAGACCAAAGTGGCGTCCACGGCCTCCTCCGAGGAGAGCTTCACGGTCTTGGCCATCCACTCCTGGATCCACGCCCAGGACTGCTGGGACAGCGGGTCCTGCGTCTGCCCGCGGGTGAAAGCCTCGTGCTGCCCGCTCACGAGCCAGTACACGGAGAGCAGCGCACCCATTGTCTGCTGGCGCTGCGTCGACGTCGTGCCGCTGAAATACGAGAGCTCCGGGAAGACGCGACTGACCCTGGACCTAAATGCGTCCTCCTTGATCTGGTGCTCCAGCAAGTCGCGCGCAAGCTGAGTTGACTGATGGGTGAGCTTGTTGAGCTCCGCCGTGTCGGTGATGGGAATCCAGACCTTCGGGATAACTACCGCCTCCGACGCGGCCTCGTCCATGTGCAGCTCGAAGGGCACGTCCTGGAATCGGGCGGAGCCAAAGAAGCTCTTGGCAAAGAACTGGAGCTTTCCCAGGTTCACATAGACTAGAGACTCATCGCTCCAATGGTACTCTTTCCAAGCCTCCTCATACACCTTCAACAAGATCTTGATTGCGTCAGTGAGCCCCACCTCCTCGTTAGTCCTCGCTATTCCCAAGAATGCAGACATGCCGCGCAACACGAAACCGGGAGTCTCATCGATGGCGTCTGCGTTCAAGTAACCGGTCAGCGCTTCCTGCTCCCCCCGGTCAAGCGCCTTGAACGCGTCGGTGATCGGCACCAAGTCCTAGAGGAACAAGAAACGGCATAAACATATTTTCTCGGAGGTCACCGCGTACCTCCGAGACATCATGTTTATGCAGCTTTCTTTTCTGGAGGAATGAAACAACGCCCCTACCCTGGGTTACAGGTGCGTGGTCAGTAAACCTCCTGGGAGCTCCCACAGGCCAGAGGGCCGCCAGGACGCCGCGCGACACGCGCGATACGCGGGGTTTGCCCTGCCAGCCCGCAGGAGGTCCTGCGCACAGCGCCTCCCAAACCAGGTGATGGGGGCGTGTTTTTTTTACGCCCTCTATTTTCACCGAAGTCCAGCACGTTCGAGACCTGGGCCATGCAGGCGAGCCGGACGACGGCTCTGTCCCTGTGCTTCTCGAGGTCCATCTCCAGGGCTTCGGCGCGGGCCGTCAGCAGCTGGTCGTACGCTGCGCGCTCCCGCCCGCCCTCCTCCAGCAACAGCACGGCCTCAACGCCCGCGCCGACCCTCAAGAAGCGCTCCTCCGTCATGTAGACGGAGCCCTCCTCGCTGCGCTCGCCCTCCGATCCGCACATCCACGCGAATATCACGAAGAGGAACACCAGCAGGAGCTGCTTCCGCTCGTCCCGCGTGCACGGCGGCTCCTGCAGCATCCTCGACACCGCCGTGAGGGAGGCTGGGAGGCTCTCCGCCAGCAGGAACTGCTCGAAGTCGAACTCGCACACGAGGCACTTGTGCAGCAGCGACCGCTGTCTTAAGTCCAGCCGCGAGTAGCTGGGCAACACCTTGGGGCACTTGTCGAGAACGCACTTGACCGTCTCCCTGTGGTTCTTGGCGCCAGGCGCCAGCTGAGCCTGGAACTTTGGGATCTTGGCGACGCCAGACACCACGACGGCCACCAAGACGACATGCAATAATTCCTTCCCAGCATCGGAATCATTATCCGACATGGCCTCTATCCAGTGTTGGATCTTGCCCCACGACTTTTCGGATATCCTCTTGTCCACTGCTTGTCCGCGCGAGAATGCGTCCAGCTGGTCGGACCACGCGAAATAAACTGCGAGCAGCGCGCAGCGCGTCCGCTTGTGGATGTCCTCATCGGCGCGCCTGAAAAAACCCAACTCCGGGAAAACGTCAGGCAACCTCTTGATGAACGCTGACTCACGGATGCCTCTGTCCATGTCCGCCGCGAGGCTGTCGGCGCGGTCCGCAAGGGTCGCCAGCTGCTCCGGGTCTGTGACGAGCTGCCACGGCAAGCGGTGGATAGCCCCCTGATTATCCGAAGTTGTCCTGGTAACCTCGAGCGGCGTGAAATCGAACTTCTCTGCCAGTCGCTCTTTTTGCCGCTGATGGTCCTCCTCGTCGTCGTCACTGTCATCGAGGAGGTCGCCGCGTCTGGTAGCTGTGCAAATCTTGGCCTGCTCGAACACCTCGTCCACCATGACAGTCACCACGAGGGAGTCGCTGAAAGAAAACGTCTCGTACGCCAACTTGTAGACCCTGAGCAGCATCCGCATGGCCAGGACGAGGCCAACTCCGTCGGCTTCTTGGCGAGCATGCTCTAAGAGCCTAGGGGCGTTGTACAGAATGATCGCCTTCTGCTGGATGCCGTCAGCGTTGAGGTACATCGCCAACTCCTGGCGCTCTTCTGGCGCCAATTCCCTCCAAGCCTTGGCGACCTCCCCGCCAGTCTTCGAGTCGTACGTGCGCGACAGGCAAGCAAGACGCACCAGCGCCCGCGAATCGCTGTCTTTCTCATCGAAAGCTAGCCCCTGCGCCACGGCGCGCTTGGCTAAGAACCTGTCGTAGACCATCTGCGGCGACTCGGAGGTGAGGTACTGGAGCACATTCACCCCGAGCTCGAAATTGTTCCAAAACTTGTCGATTATCAAGAGGGAACCGTCAATGCGAACATGGCCCAGCACGCCGCACATCTTCGCAAAAGTCTGCCACAGGAAAAATCCAAGGATGAGGGCCTTCTCGTCGTTCTTTTCATCTGCCGTGGAAATCATGTCCTTGACGGGCATGATGCTAGCAGGTAGATTCTCTGCTTGGATGAACTGGCCGAAGTTGAACTCGACGGTCGACCTCAGAATGAGTTGCCGCAGATTCTCGCCCAGCTTTGACACGGATGGCACCACGATCGGTTTGTTCTCCAGTATGCTCCTCATCACTTCGACATGGTCGTCGCCCTTCTCTGGCGCAAAGGCCTCTTTGAAGGGCTTGATCTTCCCCAGCTGGCTAATCGCCAAAGATACAAGCATAGCAACAACGGTGTTCGGATCCTGGGTGAGACCCGTCGTCTTGGTCCAGCGCTGGAGGCTGTCCCACGACTGCCTGGTCAGGCGCGTGTCGTCGTTCTTCTGGCAGCGCACGAAGCTCTCGTAGTGGTCGCCGCAGATCCAGTAGACCGAGAGCAGCGACGCCATCGCGCGCTTCCTGTTGTCCATGTCGGCCTTGTCCTTGTCGCGGAAGAAGCCCAGCTCGATAAAGATGTCACCGGCGGCCTTGATGAACTGCTCCTCCGAGAGCGCCTCCTGCGAGCCCCCTGGGCCCGGCGCGCTGAGCACCTGGAGCGCGAGCCCCTCCGCGGGGTGGGCCTGCAAGCACATGCTGCCGCGCTCCCGGAACCCGCGGCGGCTCCCCTGCTTCAGCGTGGAGCGGTTCCCGTAGAGCTCCAGGAGGTACCCGGCCGTGTGGTACCTGCCGTTCTGCATCGCCACGTGGAGCGGCATTCGTTCCGCCGCATCTTCCGCGTCCAAGTCCGCCTTCAAGCTCACCATCAGCTCGCATATCTTCGTGTGGCCCCTCTCGGCGGCCAGGTGCAGGGGCGTCATCCTGTTAGAATTCTTGACGAACAGGGCGTTCTTGTTCTGCTCCGCGAAGTGCTGCAGTAGTTGGAACACGGGGTGGTGGCCGTGCTGTGCGGCCAAATGCAGGAATGTGTTGTCCCCCTCCACCTGAAAGTTCTCCAGACGGCTCTCGATGAGCTTCACGTAGGACAACGGCCAAGCCTCTGCTAGCATCTCCAAGATCTGCGCCCAGCATTGCTTCGTCAGCAGCTTCTTCAGCGTCACCGACTTCTCCATCAACGTGCCGCCCTCGGTGTGTACGGTGTGAATCTCGCTCGCGGCGAAGAAATTCTGGAAAACCCTCGCGAGAAAATTGTACTCCAGCCGACCGCCGTCTCTCTGCGACCGGAGGACCATGGCGTACCCCGCCTCGACGGCGCCCTTGAGGATGCCCCAGCCCTCGCTCATCTCCTCGGGGAGGAGCGTCTCGAACTCCTCGGCGCAGATCGTCGCGCTGCCGTCCTCCTGCATCGCCATGGTCTTCGCCATGAACTCCAAGACCCGCTTGCACTTGCTGACGTTCTGCTCCTTCTTGTGCCGATCTCCCTGCTGCCTGCTCTGAACGCGCTGCAGCATCACGTCGATGGCCACGCGGTACACTGCGGTCAACGTGACCTTGTCACCCTTCTCTGTCTGCGCCTTGTTGTCTTTACGGTTCGCCGTCTTGTCGGATTTCCCGCTGTCGCTGTTGGGCTCCAGGTTGCAATAGCAGATCAGCATGCTGAGCATCATGGGGTTGCCGAAGACGTTCCCGTGCTCCTTCTCGCCCTCCTCGGCGCTCTCCTTCTGGCCGCTGCCCGTTCGCAAAGCGCCGATGACCTCGTCGAATTTGAGGAGACCGTTCAGTCCCAGACGCGCGTGGGCCACCGAACGAATTTGCTGATCCGTGAGGCTCCTCAACTCCATCGTCGTGATGTGGTCGGACAATCTGTCTAGGGAGGACTGCCCCGGGAGGAGCTGCCGCGACGTCACAACAACCAGGTGGCGGCCGATGACGATGTCGCCGATGAGGCCCTCGACCACGTGCATCATCGGGCCGCCATCCTCGAGGCCCTCGAAGAAAAACATGACACGCCGCATGCTCATCGCCTGCCGCACCATCTTGTAGCGCAAGCTGTCCTCCCCGAAGATGAGCCGGAGGTACTTATCGAACCGCACCTGGACGGTCGCGTGGTCCATGTCGACGGCCTCGCCCTGAGTCGCATCGTCCATGCCGCTTCGCTTCACGATGTCCGCCACCGTCAACAAGACGGGCACGAGGTCACGGTGGCGGTCCAAGCAATCCATGACCAGGCGATGTGTGAGGGCCGTCTTGCCGCTGCCCGGCGCGCCCACTATCAAGAACGCGTTGGGGGAGCAGGACGGCACGGCCTTCTGGTATCTGTCCACGGTGTGCAGGATGAGCTGCCAGCCCTGCCTGGCCTCCATCGCGCCCACCTGTGGCCCGTGGCTGTCGAAGGCTGACTGGGAGGTGATGCTCGCCTTGCGCGAGAAGGTCCTGGGGAAGAACTTGTACCTGTTCGGGGTGCCGGGGCCTTCGCTGCGGTCCTGGGAACTCACCACGGGGCCGACCCAGCTGAGGGATCCCGTCATGCCGCTCTGCGAGCCCCTCCGCCCGATCTGCTGCACCATCTCGTCCTCGCCGCAGCCCGCGAACGCCACGATGTGCAGGGTGGGCGTGGCGCACGACTGGATCGGGAGGCGCTGCCCTGACAGGGCGTCGATGATGAAACTGCAGCGAGCCCGGGTGTAGAGCTTGATCTTGTGGACCTCCTCCTCGTAGGTACCCGCCGGGATCAGCGAGGGGCCGCTGTTCATGGTGGAGAGGTAGCGGAGCGCCTTGTCCTCAGCTTGGTCGCCTCCCTCTGACGATTCTTTGGTCATCCACCCGTTCTGGGGGGACTCCTGCGTGGCGCTCTTGATGCGGACGCGATGGCGGAAGCCAGTGTTCTCCTTGACCACCTCGATGACAGTGGCGTCCGCCCAACTGCCGCCGCCCTCGGAGACGAGGATGCGCCGTTGCTCCTCGTACTTGCACGGGGTGAGGAAGACGTGGTTGCTCGCAAACGGCTCGAAGATGAAGTCCGCCGCCTCCGTCGGCTGCGCCCCCGCGGCGCGGACCTGGTAGACGCCGAAGCCGTCCTCCCGCATGACGACCACCTCCGTGCTGGGCGGCGCCTGGCTGCAGCCCTCGGGCACGTCGAGGCAGAGGGCGGCGCCGGGAGGGTAGCACATCGTCGCCACCCCGATGTCGACCATGCAACGCATCATCTCCTCGCCGAGGGCGTTCCTCGCGACCGCCTGCAGGGTCAGCGACCTCTGGAAGTGCTCGGTGTTGTCCTGGAGGGGGGGGAGCGACACGAGTATGCACTTTCGGAGGTCCGCGCGGATTTTCGGATCTGCGCGGGACACCCTTCCCTGATGCGGGGAGCGTGCCAGGAGTGGCGCCGGAGGCGCCGCCAGGAGGGCCCCAGCGCCGATCCAAGAAACCCGCGCGAACCATCATAATCTTATGCTTATATTGTGCTTCTTTCTCCGATGTCCAGCGTGAATATGGCATCCTTGCTCACCGCGGCGTCCAGGCCCGTGCGGTCCTTGCTCTTCTTCCTCTCCGAGCTGCGGTGCGGCGTGAGCGACGCCACGTTGAGCGAGGAGACCGCCGCCGAAGAGTTCCCCCACCACCTGGACCTCTTGGGCGAATCGTCCCCGTCCTGCACGTCACCGAACAAATTCGACTTGATGATGAAGATGTTGCTCTGCAGCAGGCCGGTGGTCGTGAAGAAAAGGCGGCTGTACATTCTCACCTTGGGCGGCTCGGTCTCGCTGCCTGGCGTGACGGTGCCGATGCAGCCGTCCACCAAGCTGCGGTCGAGGAGCGGCTCGCTGAACATCACGTCGATCTCCTCGGGCACTTGGACGTGCAGCGTCCATGCCCCGTCCTCCCCATCTCCCTCGGCGCCATCGTACTGGAGCGGCATCGTCCTCTCGGTCTCGCGCAGCGACCTCCTCTCCTTGGGGTCCCTCTTGAGCACCTCGGCCACACGAAGGATGGGAGCGAACAGTCCCGCGTGGCGGCTGTACTTGGCGCACGCGGCGTGCGCGTGGCGGATGCTCCTGCTCGACATGTCGGTCTGCTGGAAGATCCTGCTGTTGGCATGTACCCAGATGGAGTTCGCTTCAGTGAACTGGCTCTGCGTCGCGAGCTCGATGAGGCTGTTCAGCGAGGGCCGCGCCTTCTTGGCGTTCCCCTCGCAGCTGAGCTGGTGCATGATGGGCAGGGAGCAGAGGCTGTTGCTGGCGATGGCCTGCTGCATCTCGGCGATGACCCTCAGGACATTCCGCGCGACCGTATGGCAGTGGTAGATGGACCACACCTTGTGCTGCGGGGCTATGTCACGGTAGCCGACGATCCTGTACGTCTCGCGGAGGAAGGGCAGCCAGAGCTGCAGCGAGGAGGCGTCGCACGGCTCGAGGCCCTCCGTCGGGTCGCCCGCGCCGGGCGAGAACTCGCGCAGGGTCGCGAGCACGTCCCTGCTCATGAAGCGCCGGACCCCCACGGCGTGGTCCATGAACCAGCGCACCGAGGAGGCTCCCCTGCCACAGCCGTCGGCGGAGGTCGGGCTCTTGATGCTCAGCGTGTCGAAGATGTAGTCGCCCGAACAGAGCGCCTTTGTGGCGAGCCGGCAGAACGCGAAGGCGCCCTCGGTGTCCTTGCTCCGTGCGGACAGGCGCGACTGCAGGGCTCGCACGATCTTCTTCGCCTCCTTCTCCTCTTCGGCCGCGGCGATGCTGGCGATGATGCCCTGGAGCTCGTCCTGGGTGACGAGGTGCAGCGACTTGTCCTGGCGCCGTTGGCGGAGCGTCCGCAATAGTTTGTCGGCGACACCCTGGTCGACGCACAGCCAATCGCCCACGTTCAGGAATGTCCACATGTCCTCCCTGTCCGAGGCGAAGTCCAAGAGCATCTCGGGGGTGATTGGGATGAGAGAATACTCGAAGAGGCAAGCCATCTCGAACTTGCACATGTCCGTGAAGAGTGGCAGATCCACGCTTGTAGCGAAGTCGATCAGCCACACCGCATCCAGTGCATCGATCATGATGTTGGCAGCGTTTAGGTCGCCGTGGGCGAGGCCCACGAGCGGCATCAGTTCCTTATGTCCGCTATTTGTGAGTGCCTCAATTTGCGGCTTGATGTTCTTCTCCACCAGCTCCACGAGGTTGGGCATCTCCTCTCCGAAGTAGGTCTTGTACAGCTGTCGTATCGCCTTGCCAGGTGGGTACTGGTTCTCGTCGGCGGTGAACAGATTGAACTTGGTCTTCTTCCCCTTGAGCGTGTACCAGCTCGTGAGAGGCTTCTCCGCCTCGCGCCGCATCCCTCTGCCGCCCTTCCGCAGCGACGACACGACGCCGCCGGGGCCGAACGTCTCGGCTAGGACGCTGTTGACGTTCCCGAACGGCCTGGCGTCCTGAGCTGCGGTGGCGGTCCTGCCCAGCAGCACCTGCTCGCTCTCGAAGATGAGGAGGTCCTTGAAAGTCGACAGCAGGTTGGCGGACCCCTGCGCCAGCTCGGGCACGTTCCAGCACGCGCCCGCGAGCTCCAGGCGCATGGCGCCGAACGCCTCGCCGTCGTTCTTGTCGGTGGAGAACACCGGGTCACCTCTCCTCCTCCTCCTCCTTCTCCCCCTCCTCCTCATCCTCCTCCTCCTCCTCCTCCTCGCTCCTCCTCCTCCTCGCTCCTCCTCGCTCCTTCTCCTCCTCGCTCCTTCTCGCTCCTCCTCGCTCCTCTTGCCGGCGCCCCCAGGGGAGCTGCGCGAGGGGGACCGCCTCTCCTCCCTCTTTACCCTGAGGTCTGGGCGCTGCAACTTCTGGACCCGCGGGCGAGCTTGCCTCGCCTCGGGCCGCGGGGGACCCTCACAGATCGAGCTGGCTGTAAGTCGGGCCTGTCCCCCTACAGGCCGATCTTGGACGAAGAATGAAAAATAGTCAAACAATGCTCACACATGGTCCCCAGACTATTTTTTTTAGATGTTTTTGAATATTCCCCCTGTAGAGGGACAGGCCCGACTTAAAGCTGGCCTCGAGAGATGCGGCAGAAAACTAGGGTCTAGGGCTCCAGTGGTGATGCTTCGCGATGCTGCACGTTTTCGCGACGTCAGGTCTCAGGGTGGGCCGCCCAGACGGGGTCGGAGTAATTGGGGTCGGAGGATCGCGCCGCGTCGCATCAACGATGCGGCGCGAGCCGGGGCCCATGTTTCCCACCCCGATGTCGCCAGTGACTCGCCGATGCATCTTCTGTGCGGTGCGATCCTCCGACCTCACCTGCTCCAGCCCCATATGGGCGGCCTCCGTTCTACTAGATCCGAGGGCTTCTCAGATGCCTTCCAGGCCTCCAGGCAGCCTTCTCAGACACCGCTGGGCCCCTCTGAGGTCCCTGCCTTCCAAGAGGCCCCCCGCCCTTGAAGGCGGCCGTGCACTTCGCGCCCCCCCCCGTTGCGCGCCGCAGCCCATCACCAATGATGCGCGCGGCCCTGTCGGGTAGCGTCTGGAACACGTGGACGGAGTTCTCGAACTCCGCCTGGATCGCGTCCTCGGCGTCCATCTTCACTATGCACGGCTCGCCAGGACGCCCGTCGTGCTCGAAAGGCTGCACGCGTATCACGAGCGAGCCGCTGAAACCACCAGCGAGCTTCTTAGCTGTGAACGTCTCGAACATCTGGAGCAGGAGGTTCTCGTACACCTCGCGCCTCGGGTGGTTCTGGAAAAGCTGCTTGCACATCTGGTTCATGTCCACCTGGGACACCATCGTGCTGCCCTTCTGCGTCAGCGTGGCCTCCCAAGTCGCGCTCCTGTCCCAACGCAAGAACCTGGTGACCGTGCTACCGTTGAGGTCCTTCTCTGTCGTGGTAAAATGCTTGCCTTCGGGCAGGCCGATCTTCTTCAGTAGCTCCCTGTGCGTCACGAGTGCCATTTCAGGGATGACGTAGTCTGCTTCGCTCTGGTGCAACTTGCAAGGGATGGGGAACGCCTGCGTGGCTTTCGTCTCCTGGCTGGGCGCGTCTGGGGTGAACACGGGCATCTTCTCACAAATGATGCAACCACTGTTCTTCAGGTCGACGCCAAGGCCGGCTTCCAGCCATCTGTCCAATGCGTCTGCGAAGGAAGGCTCCCTCAACGTCTTCCGCATCCCTGGCAGGTAGTTCCGGCTCTGGATGCGCGACTCGGAATCCTGCTCGTGGGACTCCACGAGTATCAGGTCCTTATACCGCAACTTGACGAAGACCATCTCAAAGACGCGCTGGAGGCCAGAGTGACTCTCGCACTCGTGATCTTCCTCGAGCCAGCACTGGCCCTGCTCGAGCTCCTCGAAAAGCTCGGATATGCTTCTGAACCCATCCTTGCCGAAACCGCTCAAGTCGAACTCATGGGCTAACAAGACCTCCTGTAAGGACCCCTCGTCGGGGATCCGGAGTCGGTTCTTCAACTTCATGCGTCTGTTCTCCTCCGTCATATTCTTCAGCTGCAAGTTCAGGGTCTTTACCTGACGCTCAAGAAACACCTTCAGCTCTTCCGCTTCCGTGAGCTGTCTCTGGAAGTTTAGCAACGAGTTCCCCATGTCCAAATGCTCTCCTATCAGGGGTGGAGAGCAGGAGGAGGAGGAGGAGGAGGAGGAGGAGGAGCAGGAGGAGGAGGAGGAGGAGGAGGAGGAGGAGGAGGAGGTAGGAGGAGGAGGAGGAGGAGGAGGAGGAGGAGGAGGAGGAGGAGGAGGAGGAGGAGGCGGAGTTGAAACGCCCTTTAGTTGAAGTTGCCAGGGGCACTCCACGTGCGCACGGCGACGCCTTCCGAGGGGACCCCAACGAAGTAACCAGTCGACGTCCAGCAGCAAGCGAGTGTATCCGGCGAAACGCACGTCGATTAGCGACACCGACTGGGGACTGCACTGGCACACTCGAACTTCAACGTCGAGTGGACCAATGCAGAGTTTCTCAGAGGGCCTGTCTGGGCAGGCGTTCCTCGCCGTGCCCGATCCTAGGCACGCCTGCACCTTCCGCAGGAAGTACTCCTTGTCCAGGAGCGCCTCCACTGGGTTGACCTTGGTGCAGAGCCGGTTGATGCAGGCCTCGGCTGGCACCACATTGCCCTCGGGGTCCCTGCAGTCGACGATCCTGGCGTCGTTTGCCTCGATGTTGTCGTCAAAGAAGAGCTGCTTCGTCTCGGGGCTGCCGATCTGGCACAGCAGCTTCCCCGCGTCGGCAACCTCCCCGTTCCACATCCACCACGCCCAGTCGTCCTTGATCGCCGCGGTGCCCTGCTCGAACAGGTGGCACTTCATCCAATCCTGGATTGCGTCGAACCCCTCGGCCGTCTCTGCTTTCAGCGTGTCCCTGATGTACGCGCGTCCGCCTCTGGTGTCGGCCTCCGGTCTCGGCTTCTGCCGTGCCCAGGCGTCCCATGGCTTGTCTTCCGGCCCATTGGTGAAGCCGCCGATTATCAATATCGGCCCATCTGCGTCTCGGTAGATTGTGTGTAGCCCGCCATCCTGGATGCGGCGATCAGGTATGCCAGGCGTGGTGCCGTCCAGCGGCCCAATGCCCTGCAGCAGCTTGGAGAAAACTGGATGCTTCATCTCGCAGAATGCATTCCATTCAATCTTGATCTGATCGTGATCGGAACCGAAGGAACGAAACAGGATGGCGAACTTCCGCCTGGACTGCTGCAAGGAAGCCACCAGATGGAATATTGTGGGGAACATCAGATGTGTCGCCCCCTTCAAGCCAGCAGCCTCGGCCATCTCGGTGAACCGGACGCCGTCAGGCAACTGCATCATCTTCAGCGTGACCCTGAGCAGCTTGTCCATCTCCTGTCGTGGCTCGTCCGCGGTGACGAAGCGGAACGACTTCACCGCCTGCTTCCTCTCGTCCTTGTCCTTCAGTATCATCTTGCAATACTGGGCGTAGTTCACCAAGAGCGCCGGGTCCCCACCGTCGAGGGTGGTGGGCGCATTGCAGGACGGCGGGCCGCGGGCCCAGTCCCACACAACCCTGTCGCCCTCTCTCCGGGTGGTGCCCCAGAAGAGCTCGGCGATCCCCTCGCGGATGCCCTCCTCTATGGTCTTCGTCTGGATGCTGTCCGACTGGATCAGCGTCTTGTTCACGTCGAAGTGGAGCAGCAGTGGTGCGAGCCCCTTCGCACCCCCCTCGCTCCTCGTCCTCTCGACGCCGCAGCCGTTCTCGGGCGCGCCCTCCGGGTGCCATGTCGGAGCGTCGCCGGCGGCCATGCCGCTCGAGCCTGGCCGCGAACAGCGCCCGGTCGACGTGGCATCCACGCGGTCCCGGGGGCAGGGGGACCAACCCGACAGGCCTGGCCCTTCTGCCAGCCAGTTCTCGAGCCAAGACGGCTTCGGACGCGGACACGCACACGCGCGCACGCCTCGCGCAAGATGCGCGACGAGCCCCTTGGGCGTAGGCAATTTTGGGAGTTTCTCCTTCCATCTAACGCCTCGGGGAGGGTATATCACTGTTCCTCATCAATAAACACCCCATGCTCCATTGGACCGGCCACCAGCCAGGAACCATGGGGGCACCCCATGTCAGAAAACAATGCAGCATGCACGCGGCGGCCAAATCTGAATCGTGAACGGACCCCGCGAGCACTTTCGATTTGCTTCTGACGGAAGGTGTGATCATATTTCTATCCAATGTGCGCTCTCCCATCATCCAAACCAAAAGCCACTGCAAACCCATTGAGGGTGCACACGCTATACACCATGCTGGCCTCTCCGCCGCCATTTTGCAATGGTTCTTTCCATCCTCATGGTCGCGGGGTCGACGTACATGTTGCTCGATGTGTGCTGCTACGTGCGCTGGCGCGCCTGGCGCACTCCGTGCGGGTCGCGCACCTGGCGCGGTTAGAACAGGTGGCGCACTTGGCGCGCGTGACGCACGTGGCGCACCTGGTGCGCCTGTTACGCTTGGGCTCCTGGGGCACATGCCGTACCTGTTGCGCGCAGCGCACCTCGCGAGCGTCCGACACCTGGCGCCTTCAGTGGTTCCCTGCGGGGCAATGCTTGTCCAGCCGCTGGCGACTTCTGCCTAGACCGAGTCTCGGGTGCTACTCATGTGGTGGGAGGGCCGCCATCCTCCTCCTTCTCCTCCTCCGCCCCCTCATCTTCAGTCTGAGGGGGAGGCCATCGCCTGGGAGGGATTGGTCTTTCCCTGCTCCGCCGTCGCCCGGGAGGGGCTGGCGGAGCAACCTCCTTCGAGCAACACCCAATAAGGGTTGCTCGGAGGGGCAAAGGGTCGCCCGGCAAGGTGCCCAACGGTGTCGGGCGGAAGGGGGCGAGACGGTTTGTGGTGTACCCCTTGGGCACTCGCTCGACTCCTCCCCGCATCCCCCCCGCGGGGTCGGGGGGGCCCGCGAGCGGCCAGAGCGTCCAAGAGGGCTCCAAGAGGGCCTCGGACAGCCCAAGACGGCTTCCACGATGGCTCGATCTAGGCAAATATGGTTCCCGATCCCCACAACATGCCCCCAAGAGGCCCAAGAGGCAACAATACCACCCAAAGACGGCTCCAAATGGCAACAGATCGTCGCAAGGGGAAACGCCGAGAGGCCAACATTATTTCAACATATGTTGGTGTGTACATATGTATATATATATATATATATATACAGGCATATGCATATGTATGTGTATACATGCATTGGACCAGAAAACAAACGACACCATCCCACCTGAGGCCCCACGGGGCTTGGGGTATACCAGGGACTCGGGCGTGGGCTTCTGCGTGGTATGCGCTGCGGCCCCGGCTGAGCCGTCGTGCAACCTGGAGGACCGCGGGTGGGATGGCGTCGTTTGCTGTTTTTCTTGGTCGGTTCATCTGCACAAATCTTTGCATGTGGAGACTGCTCGCCCTTTCGCTTCCGATGGTCGGCGACGTGGATCCGTCACGTGATGTGAATCGGAGGAGGGTCGGAGGAGGAGGAGGAGGAGGAGGAGGAGGAGGAGATAAAGAGGAAGAAAAGGAGGGGGATGCGGTGGGGAGGGGGGAACTTCGAATCACGTGACGAAATCCCTCTGCGTAGATGGGCCTCAGATGCCTCGAAGGTGGCGCCAAGATCGCCCAAGAGAGGTCACGTGCGGCCAGGAGGAGCGTCCCAAGGGGGACCCAAGAGAGGCGACTCCTCGGGCCCCCCCTTTCTTCTCCGACCGATGATCTCCAGGATTGCCCCAGGGTAGCTCCCGAGCCCCCCCCCCCAAGATGACTTCAAGAGAGCTCCAAGATGATTGGAGCGGCTTCCGGCATTGCCAAGCTAGGACTCAAACGAACGTCCCACAAAAGGCTCCAATATCGAACATACCGTAAACGTATTGATGGTTGTCGGTTTGACGGCCGCCCCCCTCTTGTCCCTCTGCTTGCGCTCACACTTCCATGATCAAAATAGCTCGCCTGGGCATCGTTCCCGGGTGGGCTCATCGGGATACTTTTTTGTCGCAGCCGCAAGCGAAAGCGCAGGCGGCGAGTAACAGTGATCGGGAGACGCGAAACGCCATGTATTCTCTTACGGAGTGCACGATGGCAACGCGTGGCCCCCCCCATGCATCCATGTGCGCATATCCTTTGGGGCATCAGGCGTGCGGAATCGCATGCGTGTGAAACTCCATGCTGATGCAACCTTCCTACTTGTCCTTTGCTACGAGTAGGGATCATACAATATGCTGGACTTGGGGGCCGGAGTACGAGGAGGAGAAGGGGCAGGAGTCGACGTAGGAAGATGAGCAGCGATGGGAGCCGGGGTATGAGTACGCGCAGGAACCAAATTCGAGCTAGCCAACTCGGACGAGCCCATGGGCCCTGACCGTCCCCACCCTCCTTCCCCATAGGGGCCGGGGTGCGAGTACGCGCAGGAACCCTATTCGAGCTGGCCAGCTCGGGCGAGCCCGTGGGCCCTGACCATCCCCACCCTCCTTCCCACAGCACGAGAAGCAGTGCCAACGAAAACGTGACCCTGGGAGTGGCGCGCGCTCCCGCCCAGCGGATCGGAATGCGCTCGCGTGGAAGCGCGCGGCGCCCCGCTCTAATCGACCTGGCGACGGACAAGCGTGCACCGCGCGTCGGGCGAGAAAGGAAACTTCAGCACATCCCTACGTTTAGGTCGGGCGTGTCCCCCTACAGGCGGATCTTGGGCGAAAGAATAGAAATCGTCGAACAATGCACTAAAGATGATCATACATGCGCAACAAAAACCGTCCCATACTATTTTTTGACTATTTTGGAATGTTCCTCCTGTGGAGAGGGCGGGCCCGACTTAACCCTGCGTTCGGCCCTCTCGCGCGCGGCCAAGTTTGCCGATCGGGCTGGCGACGGCGACACGTGCGCCGCGCCCGGGCAGAACGCGTCACTCCGGGGCGAAGTCTGCGCGGCGGTGGGGCGGGAGCGACGTCTCGGCCGCTCTGCACGCGACTCCGCCGCCGACGTGATTTGACGACGATCAAGCGATATGCGCCGCGGTGCGGCGAGAGCGACCTTTCGCACTTTCGTGCACGATGTGCGCCGCGTCCCATTCCTGCCGCACATTTTGCAACGTTGGCGACAGACATGCCCATGTTGAAATCAGCAACGTCGACCCTGGAGGGCCCAGGGTTCCCTTTGTCCGTCGGGCTGTTGGCCCTGGACTGAACGGGGTGTAAGCCAGGGTAGGGTGCGTGGAGTGGCTGGCGAATTTCTCACACGCATACGTGATCATACAGCAGGATGCGTCGCAGTGGCCGGAGGAATTTCACACGTAGACATACGTTCGCGATACGGGGTTTGGAGCTGAAGGGGGTTATCCAACATGCCCCTCGTCGTGCGCTTGGCAGATGTTTCCACGCGTGTAGGTGCCAAGGGGAGGTATCCAACATGCGGCCCAGGTGCATTTGTCACATGTTTTCCGGTGGCCTTAGGAAGGTATCCATCATGCGGCCGGCGGGTGACGGAAAGCGCCTCCGGCGTGGACCGTTCGTTGGTTATCAACTAATAACGGGGTGCGGATTGCACTTTGAAGCTCGCTGGCAGATGACGAGAAGCGCGCCTAGACCCGAAAGGTCGCGCGATGGACGTCGTGTCCTAGCCAGGAGGGAAGTACTCCTATCAACTGGGGAGGCCGATGAGGGGAGCGGCCCGCTGGTCCTCGCCGTCCCGGAGGACGACAATAGGCGCTCCGCCCGGAGCATCCTCACCAACTTGCGATATCGGGAGTCCTTGTTGACGACGTCTGTTGTTACAAAGGACCGCCTCGCCTGAGACATCTGCAGGACGTTGGGATGTTGAAATCGCTGACGTAATCTTCGGATCTTCGAAGATGGGACTTTTGCCTGGGACGTCCTCGAACACCTGACATGTTGTAGGCTACAGTTTACGACGATGTTTGATAAGAAAAAAAGTTTCGCCTGAGACGTCCTCACAGTGTGAATGTTCACATCGATGGCGAAATTTTCGAATCATCGAACATGAGGTTTTCGCATGAGGCTGTTCCTTTGGGGAAGTGAGCAACCAAGACGATATCATGAAACGACCAATGCTTATGCAACATTTTGTGACACGCCTAAGCGTTACAGTATGCTATGGGCATGTTTCAACCATGTCTGTGGACAGACCTGGAGAGCACGACGTGCGATGACCAAGATGTTTACTATGATGGCGATGGCGATGGCGATGACGATGATGATGCTGATGCTGATGATGCTGATGATGATGCTGATGATGATCATGATCATGGTCATGATGATGACGGCCCAGTGCAGTAGAGACAGTCTGGAGAAGATCTTCGACAACTGGCCAAGCCTAACCGCTTCCCTGGGCGCCTCGCACGCAGCGGCAGACCGTGCCTCGGAAACAAGCGAAGACGGAGCTTGAAGCAAGCTTTCGGCATGAGCATGTCGGCAAAGGCCAACCGCCTCTGCGTGCTGAGGCCTGGGCCTCGGTTCGAGCCCGACGCCCTCCGCCCCGCGCGTGTGCCTTGCACCTGCGCAGCGGAGGCTTCCTAGGGCGACCAGGCGTGCACCATTCTTCCTGAAACGGCATGTGCACCATTCTTCTTCCTGGAGATAGAACCATGGCGCGTGCGGACCTGCTCCATCGGGTCCGCCTCCACCAAGCGGCTGGGCCGCCCGAGGCGGCACCGGGCGCAGAGAGAGCGCCAGGCCCGTCGGCGGGGCGCACGGTGTCGCGGGAGGCGACGCTGTATTACAGGGCGGCCGGGCGTGCACGTGCACCACCCTCTGGCTCATGGCCCGAGACGGTCCGTGTGCACCACGAGCCCCCCCGGCGGGTGAACCCTGGCATGTGCGAGCTGCTCCTCTGCTTCGGCCTCCGCGCGTGGGCTGCAGCAGACTGGCGGCGGGCGCGGAGG